GTTCTTCTGGATGAATTCAGAAAAACCTTGAAAGACTTATATGAACTGTTACAAAGTGAAATGAGTAGAACCAGGAGAACATTGTACACAGTAACAACAATATTTCACGATGACCAACTGTGAATGACTTGACTATTCTCAGAAACACAGTAATTCAAGACAGTTCCAAAGGACTCATAATAAAAAATGCTATCCACCTCCAGAGAAAGAACTGATGGAGTCTGAATTCAGATTGAAGCGTACTGTTTTTCACTTTCTTTATTTTTTCATGATTTTTTTTTGGTCTGTGTTTTCTTTTACAACATGACTGATATGGAAATGTTTTGCGTGATTGCATATGTTTTATATATCAAATTACTTATCTCAGGGGAGGAGGAGGGGAAGGAGGGAGGAAAATAATTTGGAACACAAAATTTGAAAAAAAAGTTAAAATTGTTTTTTTTTTACATATAATTAAGAAAAAATAAAACATTATCCCCCCCCCACCAGAAAAGGAGAATGTTCTTCTTCCTCACTCCCTCCTCTGACCAGTATTTCAGAACATCCTTAAAAACTTAGCTCAGGTGCCACCTTCCAGTTGGCTTTTTTCGATCTCTCCAGTTGTTAATGCTTTTAATCATCTTCTCTTCTCCCCTTCCCTTCTTCTTTCCTTACATACACACACACATATACACACACACACACACACACACACACACACACACACACTCTTATATACTTGTTTATCATTCTCTCTCTCTTCTACTCATAGAATGTAAGCTTCTTGAGGGTAGGAATTATTTCATTTTCATCTTTGGATCTTAGCATCTTTGAATGATAGATAGTTAATAAATATTTCTGAAACTGATCTGGATCCTCATATGAGAAATGTTGGGTAACATGATGAACAATTGCCTCAGCTGCTACTTTTTTTTTCCTCAAAGAAACAAATAGACGATTCATTTAGATGGTTGTTAGAGTAAGCTTCTGTAACGTTATCTTGTCTTGACCCTCTATAACATGAAAGCATAACATTAAATCATAAATCAATGAGGGCATTCCTTCAAAAAGGACGGGCTATGGAATCTGGGCTTATTGTTTTCTGACATTCTAACAATGCAGGGATAAACCTTAGAGACTGGGATACAAGACAAGCTAGTCAAGAGGTCCATTGGATTGCCCTGGTGGAGTTTCGGATGTCTTCAGGGAGCCTGAATGAGAAAAGATTTATGACCAGATTCTCCAACAGGGTCTAGACTGCCTATTCTCTGTGTTTTGGCCTAAAGTCAGAACTGTTTGCTTTAGATTACATCTGGGAGGAGAGCAAAGGCTAAACCAGCTTGTGATCCTGCCTAGACAATAAGTCAATCTCTTAACTTCCCTTTGGATGTGAGCTATCAGGCTGTCTACAGGTAGAATCAATATTTTCCTCTGAAAAGACCTTTGGGTCTTGTCAAGCACTCATCCAGTTCATGTGGTTGGAACTCAAAGTGTTGCATTTGGAAGAGATGGGAAGGCTTTTGGAGAATGTGCTATCAGCCCTGCTTCCATAAAAGAATTCTCTGGGGGGCAGGTAGGTGGCACAGTAGATAGAGCACCGGCACTGAAGCCAGGAGGACCTGAGTTCAAATTCGGCCTCAGACCAAACATTTGACACTTACTAGCTGTGTGACCCTGGGCAAGTCACTTAATCCCAATTGCTAAAAATAAAAAAATAAAAAGAATTCTTTGTAAAACATCTGTGAGTCCACTCTGATAACTGGGAAAGAATTCTGATATTTACCTTATATTTAAGGAAATGGTTGGCCTGTGAATCTGCATTGTAGTATTCTAGGATCACAAATTTAAGTCAGGAAAGGTCCTAGAGGTCCAACAGTCTCATATTGTAGGTAAGGCAGTTACATAGCTAAGGAAGTTGGACCAGCATTTGAGCCCAGGTGTGCTGATACCAGGTCCAGTGCTCTTTCTACTCTACCTCTTGCCTGTTTCCCTGAGGAATGAGGCACAGGCTATGATAGAAACCCTCTGACTCCAGAAATGCAAATCTGTTTAGGGGCTCTATGGAGGTCCTAGAGAAACTAATGGGGCAAAAAGATTGGCAGGCTCTACTGTTTGAGGGTATGGTTAGCCCCTGGGCCATATCTAGTGTCTCCTTGCCTTTTCCTTGTAAGAGTCTTAAAAATGCAAAGGCCAAAAAGATCATTTTGCTACAGTGAAAAGGATCAAGGAGGACCCAGAAGGGCCTATGGGCTCTGCTAGGGAGTGCTAAAAACAGCTCACAGCAACTTAACATAACAACAAACAGCAACAACTTGCCCGAGCCCACAAAGTTTAGTTAATTCAGTTCCCTGGTGCTTGGAACCAACCAATGGAACCCTGCCTATAGTTTTGGGATGTTACAGAAAGTGACAGCAGTTCGTGAAGAACTGGGTCACAAGCTTACAGTTTGTTACCTGGAGATATGAGAAGCAGAAACATGACAGTCTGGAGAAGAACTCGGCTTCTATTCCAGATTTATTCAGAGATCCAAGCTCCCCCTCTCTCTCCTCCTGCCTGCCAACCTCCACCCTTAATAGAGATCAGCTGGGGCAGCTGAGATGCTGAGAGAAGAGCATATGTAGGATGACGACCATGACACATGGATTGTTTTGATTCAGAATCACGTTTCAACAACTCCTAATTTTTTTAAGACCCTTGGATCACTCATTGTAGAAATTTCATGACTAGATTTTCTATTTATGAAAAGTAAACACCCTGGTTAAATTGCAGAGTCTAAATGCATTTGCAAATGTCAAGAGAGAGCCTGGTGTTGTTGCTGACTCCCAGGCATGCTGATGTTTGAGATGCACCTTCACTAATGGGGTTTCTGCTAAATGGCACTTACTGAGAAGGGGCAAGAACCATAAGGTAAAGAGACTTGGTAACAGGGAAAACCTCTCAAGCTGAGCAAGGACTTTATGGCAAAGCCCCGAGAACATCACATACCTTTATCCCATACTTACCTCAGAAAGCGGTGACTCATATTAAGATTTTTTTTTTTAAATCTTGCCTAGTTTAAACTTCAATAAACGATTAGTGTTAATTGATGAAAGGAATTCATTCACGTAATCTGGGTAAGGGCTTCATGACAAAGCCCCATTGAATGAAATCCTTGTCTTACATCCACCTCAGAAAGTGGTGGCTCTCCCATATATGAGATATTTGTTACACTGGCTGGTTTGAAACTCAATATGTGATGAGTATTAATTGCTGAAAGCAATTGATTTATGTATTGACTATGACTTAATCTTAAAGATTAGTGATATCATACACACATACACAATATATAGATCTATATCTAAGAGAGAGAGAAAGAGTCAGTCATGAAATCCTTGGATTAAGTCCTGCCTGTGACAAATGCTATGTGGCTTGGGGCAAGTCACTTCGCCTCTCAGTGTCCCAAGTAGTTGCTAATTTGCTTTGCTAAAGGGAGTAAACCCCTTTAACAATGAAATCACAAGTCTGGCTGTGTGGGTTTGTGCATGTTGTATGTATACACACACGTATATACATATACTACATGCACACATATAATGTACATGTTTACATGTTTTTATCTCTATATATGTATATAGGCCGTCGTGTGTAATTTACATTCAAACTATTTCCAAGGTGATTTGAATTAATTTATAAGAATGAACATAAAACAAAATACGAAAATGAGGTTAAAACAAAATACAGCTATTATAATATTGCTTCTACCAATGTCATTTCACAATAACATACTAGCATAAGCAGACAATGCTCCATCCTCGGTAAAGCAAGGAACTTCCGTGACATTGGGCAGCCAACTGGCCATTTATAACCTTGCTCCTAGGGAGCTACCTGACTCTGTAACATCATTTCACCTAACATCATGTTTTGTCAAACCAATTAATTATATTAAACAGGGCATGCTCCTATAGATGGAATCATCCAAATGGAGGGACAAAATGTATTAGGGTCATAGATTTAGAGCTGGAAGGGATTTAAGAGGTCATTTGGCCCATTCTCCACATTTTACAAATGAGGAAACTGACTCAGAGCCTTGCCGGAGGTCACACAGTAATTGGAAAAGCCCGGAGATTTTCATTTTATTCCTTTCACTCCAGATCTAGTGATCTATCTGTCCATTGCACTGATCTGCCTCCCTAACATTATTAAACATCATCCATGCCTTTCAATTCTCACATTTAAGTAATATTCCTTTTACAAATATGGCAACTTTAAATTTGCTATTAATTCATACAGCAGTTTATATTTTTGGACTATCTTTTCTCATAAAGAAATAGGGAAGTAAGATCAGGTAGTATTTTTGTTGTGGTGGTTTAATAGTGAGTTCCTTTCTCCTTCCCTTTCCCCTTCTCATTTCCTTTCCCTTCCCTTTTCCCTTACTCTTCCCTTTCCCTCTTCTCTTTCTCTTTTCCTTCCCCTTCCCTTCTTCTTTCCCTTTTCCCTTTCTCTTTCTCTTCCCCTTCCCCTTTCCCTTTCCTTTTCCCCTCCTTAGGCAATCTATTGGTCCCTGGCTTATGGGGGCTCACCATATTGATGCTAAACTTAATATGGATACCTGATAGATAATAGCTTACTGCAGCTTAGAACTTGCAAATTCAAGAGATCTGTCAGCATCCGCCTCCTCTGTAACTTGGATTACAAGTGTGTGCCACGTGGCTGATAGTGAATTTTCTGTGGCATAGGTCAGTAAGCTGTAACCAAATTATCTGGAATCATAATTATACAGTTCCCCAATCTCATTCAGTTTGGGATTGTTATGTCAATCACTCAGTCAGCAATGATTTTTATTAAGCACCTAGTATATGCTTAGTATATATAGTACATATAGTATATACTAGGAAACAAAACCAAAAATGAAACATATATTTATTTCTTTGCTTTTCTAAGGATGTGCACTGTCAGTATACCACTGATTTTAGGGGAACATTTTAGGGAAAGGCATACCGGTTAGTATCCAATTCTAACAGATTGTTCTCTGCTCTTTGTAGGACTCTGAAACCAGTGAAATAATCATCCTAGAGCAGTGTTGTATTAGAGAATACAAGAAGAAAGCAAATGCATCTGTAATTCTCAGTAAGTAAAGGCTAAAATCTTTTCATTTTATTCTTCAATTTATGTTTATATCTTAATATAAGAGGGAGTAAGATGACTTTTCCAGTAGATGCCTCCATTGTAATGTGCATTTATTGTGTCTAGAAGGAGACATTAGAATTGTTGCTAGGTAGTACTTGCTGACTTTTCTGTAACTGAATGAAAATTATGTGCCTGGTAGCATGGGCACATAAAGCTATATCACAAAATCATTATATTATAGTGCCCTTTATCAATCCTAAGTTTACTGACATGACTTATTTGGGGATAGCTATATAGCAAAAACCAGGGGCAGGGAAACCAGGGCTTTTCCCTGGCCAGTAACAAATTTAGAAAGTGTCACATTTAGAAGGCTCACACACAAATCCAACCCTTCTGTAAGGCATGAAGGAAACAAATAATGATCCAAATATGGGAAGGTGATGGTCACATAGAGTGAATTCCCAATATCACCTCCCTTCAAGCTTATGACTTTCCTAATCCTTTATATACCCTGTGACAACACTTTGGTCTTGTCTTCATATGAACAAGGATGGAGGTGGTGAGGGGAGAGTTGGGTGGGTGGACCACCTTGTATCCAAAGTACTTCACCTCAGAAACTGTATATAGCCCAAAGAGAACTACTTAGCAAGTATAATGAGTTAACATAGGAACATATATACACATACATACAGACACACATACATATACATACATGCACATATATACATAGATGTATACATATACACATAGATGTACACATATATACATATATATGTGTGTATGTATATGTGTGTGTGTGTGTGTGTGTGTGTGTGTGTGTATATATATATATATATACATGCATGCATATACATATATATGGGTGAGATGTTGGTGTTTCAAGGTATCTATCTCCTCCCTTTGCAGATTCCAGTCTTCATGTTCTGGGGCCTTTTGCTCCCTTGGTGTTCTTCCTAGCACTCTTTGCACACTCTGGTTTCCTTCCATCTCATCTCCATCAGATTCTTCAGTCATGCTAAGGAATAATTGACCAATGACAGATTAAAGTACAATCTTTCCAAAAGATGCTCACATTTTTCATAAAGGGAATATATAAAGTGATTAAACTCTGGATTTGTTTTTTTAACCTTTGATTATCACTGCTTAGATTAAAAAAGATTTTATAGTGGATTTAAGTGAGGTGAAATGGAAAAGGACAGAGAAATTGGAATTTTCTAGGCTCTTAAAATCATAGCACATAGGCACTCATTATTAAGTCCACTCTTTCTGTTTTATTTGGACTTTATACTAATGCAGTGAAGTACTAAATTAAGGCACCTCTCTGAACCATTCAAAACAAAAAGGGAAAAAAAAGTCTACTTTTGCTTCGATTGTTTAGATGCTTCTGGTGGAAGACTGGGGGGATTATGAATTATATGATTTATTTCATCAGTTTTCCACCATCCTTTGCACATGAAAACCAGCATAAGTTAGCATTAAAGTGCATTTTCAATAGAATTAGCAAGAGTGGAGTTCTTTTTTTTTTTTAAGTTAGCCTGCCAAAGAGAAAGTTTGTGTAAAAAGTACTACTTACATCAGGTCTGATAAAAATGATTCTATACTCCATCCTGCCTTGAAATCTTTGCCAATATTGGTAACCCAGTATTTCTCATGACTTTAGAGAAGTCAGAAAATAAGGCAAATAAGTACTTTTCCAATGAGTCATGGATTTTTGAGAGTAGAAGTGACCTGAAAGATAATTTAGTCCCACCCCTTTTCTTACAAATGAGGAAACTGAGGCTCAGATTATTTCACCAAAATCAAATCACAGAATCTTAGAGTTGGAAAGGCCCTCAGAGGCCATCTAACCCAAGTGATACTTGAAAAAGCAACACAATGTCTGACAAGCTCATCTGGCATGTCCTTAAAAAAGTGGAAAGCCACTGAGTCCCTAGGCAGCCTTACCTAGATCCACTTTGAAGTTGCTTAAACTGTTGAGTTGTTTTGCCTTTGTATTAAGCTTAAATTTGCCTCTTTGCAATTCTGACTCACTGTTCCTACCTCTGCCGTTCTGGGCCAACCAGACCCAGCCCGATACCTCTGCCACGGGATAACCCTTCAAGGGTTTGAAGACAGCCATCATGTTGTAAACATCCCTGGTTCCTCTACCTGATCCTCACAAGTATCACATTGCTAGTTATTTGCCCTGTTAAAATAGAGCTTGGGTATCCTAAATTTTGATCTAGTGATCTTTCCATGACATGGTGCTTCTTCTCTGGACCAGATTCTGAAGCCTACTGTGGTCTTATGACTTATGCGGGGGCTTTATATTTGCATTTTTGTGTGCCAGAGACTAACAGGGTTAAAGACCCCCTGAACTTCTCTCTAAGATGCCAGGGTGGCCTTGGAATCATGTTAGGTTTCCTCCATATTGGGAACAATTCTTAAGTGTCCAAACCAGAACAAGTGGATAATAGGATAAAAAAGAAATCAAAGAATAAGTTTAAGAGTATTGCTTAAGGGTGTGAGGAATGGATATCAGTAGCTGTTTGATGAGGATTGGACTTGTTATATACCTCTTATAAATCAAGGTTAATTACTAATATTGAGCAGTATGGCAGACAGGAGTAGGAGAGTGAAGTTGCCACAAAGGTTTAAAAGCAGGTTTTCAAGAAGTCTGGAAAACAGGTTAATTTGTTCTGGTTGTTCATAGAGCAAGACACAAGGGAGTTAAGTGAACATTTGAGAGTAAGACTATATGGCTATAAAAGCTTGCTATCCTAGTAAGCTGTTGGTTACATGTTGTGTTTCTCTTCCTGTTTGAGTCAGTTGTTGCTCATTCATTTAAGTCGTGTCAGATCCTTCGTGACTCCATTTGGGGTTTTCTTGGCAAAGATACTGGACTGGTTTGCCATTTCCTTCCCCAGCTTATTTTACAAATGAGGAAACTGAGGAAAATAGGGTTAAGTGACTTGCTCATGGTCACACAGCTTGTTAAGTGTCAGAGGCTGGAGTAAACTCATGAAGATGAATCTTCCTGACTTTGGCCCAGGTACTGTATCAACTGTACCATCTAGCTGCCCTGAGTCAGTTACTAATTATGAATGGGAGTAGCTTTGAGGCACATTCATTCTTAAATTATCTCTCCTTTATTTGTTTTATTGGTCAGTTGTTTTATAGATGAGATACTTTTTATCCCATATTTTTTCATTCTTTTGGCTTTGTTTTTAATAAGTCTTATTTTTCTCAACAAGTCATTAATTTCTCTCTGATTCATTCTAATTTTCAAGGAGTCTGTTGCTTGAGTGCAGTTTTGTACTTCTTCACTTATGTGTTTTATAAATGCAAGTTTAGCTCTGTGATAGAGGATAATAATAGCTGTCATTTATGTAATGCTTTAAGATTTATGAAGCACTTTACAAAAATTGTCTCATTTAAGCCTCACAACAACCATAGGAGGCAAGTGCTATTATTATCTCCATTTAACAGATGAAGAAACTGAGGCAGAGAGTGGTTAAATTATTTGTCTAAGGTCACCTGGCTAGTTTTGAGACCAAATTTGAACCTGGGTCTCCCTGATTCCAAGTGCTATACTATAACCACTTTACCACCTAGGTATCTCCCTAAGGAGAAAAAAAAGTGAAAAGTATGATCTGACTTATTAGAGAAGAATAAAGGTTACCAGATAGAACAGAAGAAACAGTCCAGGAAAGGAGCCAGTAAAAAAAAAAAATTCCAAGATGTGAAGGGGAATCAGAAAAGTGCTAAAAAAAAAGTTAGTAATTAGAAGAATGTGATTTTAAAAAGAAAAAGAAGAAAATCAGTCATACAAACTATAAATGAGATTGACAGCTCTTTCTATAGAAGGGGAATCTGAGCTTTTCGAAGAAAACATAGCATCCATAGAAAAATAAAATGGATTCTTAGATACTAACAGGTGCAGCCATACTATTAGCAGTCCTCTAGGGAAGAGTTGGCTTATGATGTTTGTTAACTCTGTAATGTGGATCATGGAGGCAGTTACATATGGATCAGACAGGGGCTAATTGTGATATGTGCCAGTTGCCTGGTGATTATTTTTGGGATGCAACAGAGAGCCACCTACTGACCGTTAACTACTTCTGCTCATAAAATAGCAAGGATAGTGACTTTAAAATCCTCCATATGAGACAAATTGTTTTCTGATCCCCGAAATCTCATCACCTTCAGAAGTCAAGAAACAACTTAGAGCAAACCTGGAATTATCCAGCTAAAAGTTATGAGAAATGGGCTTAGTGTCCACTTACAGACTCACTAAACCCTAGTATGTGAACACAGGATGTTATATTCCTTAGGCCATTTCTTTTCTCTTTCCATCCCCATGATATTTTCAGGCATTTCTGTTTTCCTACTCTTCCTCAAATACCCCTCAGTTATATTTCTCCAAAAAGTCCTTCCTTAGCTATAAGATGTCAGAAGAGAGAACAAGATTCATCCCCACTTCTTATAACTACCAGGCTTATTGGATAACATCTGAACTGCATGGCCATACTTATACATGGAAAATACAGGAAAACAAGCATATATCTTGGATTTCCATACTTTGAGTCCCCTCTTGTCTTGTAGGAGAAAATGAAGCCATATTCATAATACCTCCAGAAGTTCTGCCTTATCCAGACATTAATAGCCTGAACCTTAGATGGTTCTTAGATGTCACGGACTGTGTAGTTTTATGCTGAGGTTGAAAACAGGAATTATACGCATAAATCTAAAGTAGACTCCCACTATACTTGAACTTGGTATGAGTCAGATGAGGCTAAATAGAGGGGTTGGTAGAATTCTTTGGGAAGCAAGAGCTATACTCATACATATTTATCAGTTACTCTACCTGTCCCTATTTGCATATCCCTCTTTCTCCTATGGGCAAAGGAGCCTGATTTGGCTGACTCACATTAGCCAAATTATACCTCGCTTTAACAGAGCCCCTGCCTCTGTCTCCAGGCAAAAGTGACCTTTAAGCAGATATTATTCATCCTTGGCTT